CACCAACCCGCACCCGATGCAAACTTCACATCGCACACGCAGCTGCAACAGAAAATTACGGTTTATTAATGACTCCACTTTGCTTTCAATCGGAGAAACGGGTTCGGCAGACCTCATCTGATAATTACGTACCTATCGCCCACCTACTTGCACGGTCGGGGTGCGCTACGCGGTGTAGGTTTTGTACGCGCGCGGGCACACGGAGGAATATACACGGGTATATTATTTTATAATAGCCTTTTTTGCAATACATTGCTGGACGAAAGTCTTGTCACCACGCCGTGTCGATCACGACTGGTCGCTTGACCATACCTCGCCACGCCGGCCTGCGCGGGTTGGGGAAGAAGGGGTCGATTCGAGATTATAATTCGTGACTGGAGTCAGTCGGCTCGCCAAAGTTGGGACTCGAACTCAGGTCGCCAGGTTCATCGCGCAGTGCGCGAACTGCTGTCCCACCGCTCCACCCCCCCCCCTCCTCCCAAAACGACATCACACTGGAATATCGCATTTGTGCAGGCTACAGTTATACACTCTGTGTATTCATACTTATTATACGAATGCTCGATTTATTAAGATTGATGTTGTTTAAATTTGAATGTTTTTTTGGTGTTGCAAGCGGGGGGGGGGGGGGTTAATAATAACATTGAAAGCCGCGGATAACGTTGGGATTAATGACATTGACAACAAACTGTGCATACACAACGCACGAGCTCTTTCTGCCTCTGAAAATAGTACAAGTTTGAGTCGTACATTTCAGTGTAGATTACCGTGGGGCAAGGTAATTTGCTATCCAAGTAATAAACGACCGCGTTTAAAAACGAGAAAAAAATAACGTCCTACTATTGCGATGCGACCCAACATACATTACCGCATTATCCGTATTATGAGACGCTCCAGAAAGTAAGACGCGGGTTTGTAAAGTCAAGACAATTCAGATGTGTAAAGTTAGACCAACCTGGGCACGCAAGCACGCCCTACCGGAATATAAGACGCACCCTAACTTAAAAAAAAAAACACTTTAAAATCTAGGTGCATCTTATATTCCGAGGAAAACGGCACGATACGATGAGCCGTGCGTCTGTGTGGAGTGAATAGAAAACTGTTAAAAAGAAAATCACGCGCACAAAAGTTTAACGCAAACTTCGGAAACGGCATGGACACTTTCCCGTACTAGCACGTGTACTTATTTACCTATCTGGAGAAATAATACACAATCAACTGTTTTCGCGATAACGCGTACCAATGATATCCCATACGTATGTTTGCATTTCTTTCGCAAGCGTAAACGTACACGCGTGTTCTCTACACGTACGAACACTCTCGTGAACATTATTATTATACCATCGGCATTGGTCCATCGTTGCTAATGAGTTGTTTGTGCACTCCATTTATTCGCCACGCTTACCCTCCGTGCATTTTGCTGTTTAACTCGAGTGCAAGATGGACATTGAACGTAATTTAACTGAAAGCACGCGTCAGTATGGCTCGCTGCACAAGCTGCACAATACGAAACGCGAGGGTCCACTCAAAGAAAACTACCGTTCTCATCGCGGCTACGTCGGATACACAGATACACGCGTACCCGAACAACGACGAGCGCATATGCGGGAGAGCGAATACTTTCTGCAAGGGAGCAATGATGCCTTAAATGTGTGTGAAAATGCGCTCGTTTTACAGACAAGGATACAATCGAAAAACGCGAGTTGAACACATTTTGAAATAAAAACAAATATATATACTCCCACAGACTCGCTGTGCCATGTTAGCTTAGAGAAACTAAATCTGTAAGTTAACTTAAAACTCGCGTTTTTTATATATATAGAAAAAAATTCCACAACAAAGACACAGATCCCCTGCGTACAGCATTTAACAGACTGTTGGGTCCAAGGTCTTCGCGAGTAACCTCGCACGGCCACGTGGATCGTGGATGGGGTGGGTGAGCATCACGCCCGGGCAGCCCTGAGTCTCTCCCAGTGCCGACGGTGACGCACACCGCACACCACCAGAGCCTGATTCACGGCTGAGTCGACCCAGGGCAAAGCCCAGGACCTGTTCGAGATATTCGTTAAACGATGTTGCTGGCTGCGAGCAGGAATCCCAACTCGGCACGGCCTATTTTCTTAGCGTCCACAAAGTTTTGTTGAAATGTTTTTTTGCTGATCGACACGAAAGCGCTACGCAGAAATGCTGCACGCACACACGAACAAGACGCTGCACCGCTGGACAAAAACAAAAAAAATGAAATTCAAATGTCCTCGGCTCTGGCATGGGAATTCGACCTCTCAATGGCAGCATTGTTGCACCGCAAGACACGATCAGACACGATCAGGGCATGTTTAATATATAATGCAGTCCGAGCAATGGCGTAACACAACTTGCCCTCGCATTTATTTGCATAATAGTTCTATTAGCACAGCCATTACACTCATTAATATGAGCACGTGCGTGGCATGCCGATGGCGCCCGCAGTGAATGAAAAGAATAACTTTGGGCCCCGTTGTTGTAAGTTACGACTATTGTATACTGTGTCGCCAGTGACCAAATCGCCCGGAATGCGCCCTGATCTCATCAGACCCGAAAAGCCAAGCAGAGTTTAGCCTGCGCAGTGCTGTGTCTTGGATGGTCGACCGCCGTTGGCATTGGTACAAAGTAGACGACGTTTCGGGCAATGACCCTTCTTCTACAACATACACAAAGTAGGCGCCGCGGTGGCGAGATGTTTACTAGCTCGCCTGGTATACAGGAGGTTGTGGATTAGATCCCGACCCTGACGCCTGTATATTTGGAGTTTGCGCGTTCTCTCCGTGGTCGCGTGGATTTTTCTCCGGGTCCTCCGGTTTTTTCCCTCCACATTAAGAATCAACATCACGCGTTCAGAGTATTTGGCTGCTATAAATCTCCCCATGATAAGCCACTTCGTTGAGCTATCATTTGTTATAGCCAGGTCGCTTCTGAAAAAGAGCTACATAGCTCAGTGGGCCTTACCTGGTCAAAAATAAAATATAAACCTTTTATAGTTTAGTTTAGTGTTCTGCACAGAAGGGGCAGTGTGCATACATCAAATCGATGGGCGGCATAGGGCAGTGCGGCAAACGCCGCTGTTGCGATGCACGTCTCTACTCCCCCAGCCTTCACCAACCAACACTGACCAACCGCCCCCACGACGACCCACACGGCGTGGAGGCCCTCATCCAGCAGTGGATTGACAAAGGGCCAGACATGCACGCGGTACACTAACAGTTATTTTCCACCACAGACAATTGCTGGACAATGCATCGCATTATGTTTCTAAGGTTTGTTGAGTTCGCGTCTCCCATCTTCTTGCTGTATTTGCCTCCGTGCAGTTTGCCGTTCTCTGTGTAATGTGTGTGTGATGTCCCTCTGTGTGTGATGTACCTCTATGTGTGATGTCCCTCTGTGTGTTCCCTCGCTATGTGTTTTGCCCCATTTCCGCCTGATGATGAGCGCTTGTGTTGCGTTCGAAACGTCGTGATATATTTTAATTTTATTTGTGATTCATTTAATTTGTATGTTATTGTTACATACATAGTAAGGTACGTCACGTTGCAATGTTGATGAGCACGTGTTAGGATGTGCAGCTTGAACGTGCCGACCGAGGAACACCATTGCGCAGGGATTCCCAAACTCCAGTGCTTGGGACCCATCACGCTACGGACATCAGCGCGTTTACCAACTTACCCCTCCCTTTCGAATGCTCGAGGCCCGAAGATCGCTAAACACGTCCCACGTGGCGCTCCAAGCGATTGCCGCTGTCTGCGCGATTCAAATGAAGATTGAGCTGCACGTGACGCAGAGAGGGTGACTTGTTTAGAGCGCCACGCGAGACGCGTTTAACAATCATCGGGCGCGTGCAGCGTGAAACGAGTTAATTTGTATTTGAACGGGAGGGGTAAATTTGTAAACGCGGAAATACGAGCGTGTGGGGTGGTGGGTTGCGATGACTGGAGTTCGGGAGACCCTGGACTCATGCCTTTGAATTGTGATAATTCATTTCGCCTGTGAACAAAGCAGACGTTAACGCAACGGTGTGTGCATCGAGTCGGCTTCTGTTGTAACGCAGTGCTTCATGAAATGCGCTGCCGATAGTCAGTTGCATTCAGACACTCAGCCGAGTTTCAGTTTACAGGCCTCCGGACATCCACTGCTGGATGAAGACCCCCCACCCCACCACGACGGGCGGTCAGTGCGGGTTGCCGATGGGATCGAAAGGCCGGGACCCGTTCAGCTGTAACTTGCCATTGATGTTCGTTAGCTGCGAACGGGAATCAAACTAGGGTGGCCGGATTCATAGCGAAGTGCGCCAACCACTGCGTCACCGCTCCACCCCAATTTCGACACGATAGAAATCCAAACCTTGTTGAATTGTACTACATGGCACAGGCCGTACAGCATCTCGACAGTAGAGATATACCATGCGTTGCATTAAAATATAACGCTAATGCAGGGACAGAGAGCCCTTTGTGTGTGTGTGTGTGCGCTCCGTTCACTGTAGACTCCGTATGCATTGGGACAAATGATGCATTGTCTCTAATGGCTCTTTGTTATTTATATCAGCTTCTCTTTCCATAGAGGTTTTTCTGGTTAGATTGCGTAAATCTGTGTCGTTAAAACCCGCCACCACCCGACACAGCCAGCTAGTAAGAGTCGTCACGTAAACAGAACGTGGCTAATTCGTCACTTAGTACAGCACACCGGTGTGTTGGAGAGCCAAGCCACAACATTTACAAATCTGAGTACGACGTCTCGCCAGTAATTACAACTAGCTTCATCAGGCGACAGCCAGATTTGTTTCTCTTTTCCGCAGTCATTCGGAGTTGCCACATGACACGAAACCCTCCCCCGGGCCATTCGCCAGCACGGTGAAGTTAAAACAAAAAAAGTAACCCCCCCCCCCACCCCCCCACCCCCCAAACAACGCCAGGACAAATTTGCGCACGCGTCTCTGGACGAGGCGGCGTAGGAAGGAAAAACGCGCGACGTTTTCCCCCGACGTTTGAGTTTATTCGAGCTGAAACACAATCAGTGCAGGTACAGGCCACACATCGACAACTCCCCCCCCACTATTGACGACGCGTGGACGATTGTTTTTTTTTTCACACACGCAACATCCCTGCTCATCGTAGCGGACCGTGAAACGCTTATAAAGAGCTCCATTTGTATCAATTCAGCAACCCTCAACAATCTTATACTACACATTTTGGCTGCAGCAGACATTACTGTTGTAGTAATAGTCATTATTATTATTTGACGAATTATTTCCGTACTATGATTTTTAATTAGTTACACACACACACACACAAAAACAGTAACCAATGTCGGTGTGTAAGTTTCAACGAAATCACAATTAATCGCTACCTGTCCCCCATTAATTCCACTCTGCAAAAGCTGGTGGATGAAGCGTACACTATGTGCAAAATGAGTAAAAAAAACTGTAGTCTTTTGTAATAATTATTTACATGAAATAAAACGAAAGCCACGAGGCCGCTCGGCGCTGCCACGAACGGTTGTAAGCGGTGCGGATTTTATATTATTTTTATTGGCGAACAAATTCCATTTGAGGCAGCCTGCGAGCGACGGTGTTTGTCAGCTGGGGGCACGGGGGGGGGGTGGCACGATGGGCGATCGTTACCGAGGGGGGGGGGGGGCAGAACGCGGCCACGCCTCTTTTGGCGAGCGCAGAAAACTGACGGACCCGTCTCGCATCCGTGGGGCGCGGTGAGAACGATGAGTGTGACGGCAGAATCCGCGGAAGACCAAAACGCACGGTTTCATACTGGCACACTCTGGTCGGCCCACACTCTCGCATAAGCCGTGAACTGAACGTCTCCCCGCCCCCCCCCCAACCCCTTCGCCTCCACACCCCCCCCCTCCCCCCCCCTGGAGGAGTGTGCTTATCTTTTGAAGTTTATACAATGGGGTGGTCATTATGTTGTAGTAAATATTGGGTCTGGAATTTGTCAATTTCAAGCCAGGTATGTTTTCTTTCACCTGGTACTTACCCTCAATAGTCAAAACGGACTTTTTTTTTCCACTCTGCCCTTGCGAATTGTCAAGCCTTGGGGGCGAGTTCTATGAACCTCTATGGCTTTGCAGCCGCATCATCCGATTTCATTTGTGTACTCTATTTTATTTTTTCCTTTCGAGTATGCAAACGTTTCCAAGCGGCGACAGCAACAGGAACAAAAAACGCCCGCCCGCTCGCCGCCCAATCCCCCCACCCCCCCCCCCCCCCCCACTCCACGAATGAGTGAGCGTCCATTATTCCTGACTCGGGAGCTGAAAACGACCAAGGACCCTGCAGCTCGCAGCCGTGCCGCAGCAGGACAGAGTCCCGAAGCTCAGAAGTGACGTCTCTTCCGCTTCACGGTGGTGGTGGTGGTGGCATCAGTAGCAGCAGCAGCAGCAGCAGCAAACTGCTTGGCAACATGATTTCTTGAAAAAAACCAAACCGATAGAGTCATGCCGTAAAAATTAAAAATCTCTCCCCCACCCCACCCCACCATGACAGGGGAGGAGAAGAAGGACGGATAGACGGTTACTTGCGCAGGCACTCGGCAAAAGGTTAACTCTCTCCAGCAGCCGTGAGAGTTGCTCGCGTGAGATTTGGCCGCATGACCGCGTGGGGAATTACGCACTCGAGGCGTGGGGTAGAGGGGGAGTTGTGGCGCTCGCTCTCCGCTCGCCGGAGGATTTAGGGCGATCCCAAAGCCGCTCACTGTGAATGTCGGCGGCGGCAGAGGGCCGTGTCTCGGTTTTAGGGCCGCGGACGTCTCCGCGTCGCTCCCCGTCGATTAAGAGGCAAAAGCGGAGTGACGCGAGTCATCTCTCCCGGTGTCCGACCCGGGGCGGCACCACAGGCATTATTTTGAAAAAACACAAACGAAATCCTTCGGGGAAGCGTCGAGTTCTCTGGAGGTTGCAGTTTTTCCGTAAGGATTCGCAGAGCTCCAGTCCAGCCGGTGGAGGTCGGGTTGGGTCGGATGGTTTGAGTTGGGCACGATCGCGTACGGCAGCATGCGTGGACTAGCTGTGGTGGGCGGTCCCGTTGGCCAGGCTTCGGAGCTGTTTCGCCACCGTCTCGATTAGCTTCTGCTTATCCCGCTCGTTCTTCCGGAACTGTGCAAAGATGTTGCTCTTGCGGGTGTGGTCTTTCATCCTGAACAAGAAGAGCACGAGACAAAGTCAGCCGTACACTCCCGAGAAGCGTGGCCAGCACGCGAGGCCTAACGCAGAAGACCGACCGCACACTTGAATGCAGAGCGGCTGTGAAAAACTGCTTACTAAATTAGCTACATGCTCTTTTTAAGCACAATCAGAATCAGGATCTTGATTTATCCTGGAGGAATCTGATGAGCGATGAAGCTCACAGATGTTCATCGAATAGATTGCAGAAACAAGTCAGGGCCATCGTATCGACTTGAGAAAAAGTAGGCGAGCCTCGGGCTGGGTACGTCGCTAGAAGGGCAGGTGGTCGAGACTGATGATAAGAGTGGCAGCAGAAGAAGGGAAACAAGAGCCAAGAAGGACATCAATGGGGAGATCAATGGGGAGATGGTGGCCGGGCGTGGTGCTGGCCACCCACGCCCTCGTGTGCCATGCCAATCTTCATAGGTGCTCGCTAACAGCACTTGCTCCTACAGTCTGTTGCAGCTATATGGGGGATCTTTGTTTTTGAGAGGACATCCACAGAGCAGATGGAGTGATGGACAGATCGTTGCATTAAAAGGCAGGGGACACTATCATCCAGCATTAGATATATCATGGTTGATGATGATGAAAATGATGACATAGCAGTAGAATTATAATTTTATTATTTTTGTTAACGAACACAGTTGCAGATTAGGAGAAAATGCTTCAATTATCTGTCACTCGCGCGTAATAATTGCCGATTCCATTCGTTCCATACTCACCCCTTGTTAACTCTGACTCGGCAAAGAGGAAGAATATTGGAAAGGAGAAACGGATAGCATTAGAACAGAGCAAGCAGCAAAGGGAGACTGGAGAGATAAAATGTTTGGCTGATAATGTCATAAAAATGACCTGCTGTCCACAAGTTAGCAATTCACATAATTATCTTTTAAAAAATTACATGGTGTAAAAAAATATATAATTGCATCACAGGTGTCCCCCCCACCCCAATCAAAGGCAGATAAAACATAGCAACAACCATTTGGATCTTCGCTCATCCAAATCTCTTCTGGCATACCGATTACATTTTTTGTTTTTTAAACTGAGCTGTAAATTTCTTAATGGAGTTGCAGGTCAAGGATTTGACACGCGGCTCAGTTGGAGGATGACACAGGGCTCCTTAATCGCGAGTTTTTAAGTTCAAACCCGAACTCGGTTTCCCGCTCAGCCAAGCACCCGTCTGTTGCAATACCACAGATAAGTGCGCTACCCACTGCACCGCCAATGCTTTTCTTAGTGAAGGCGGAATTTCACATTGACTCTCCCCCCCCTCCACCCCCAGTCTAAATAAACAAAAGGTAATCTCTTATTCAAGTCGAGGCCGGTTTACTTTTCGAGAAGGATGAGAGCCGTGTTTGGGTTGACACGCAGATACTTGTTGTTGGGATGCCCGTAGTCAGCCAGGTACGTGGACCAGTCCCAGACCATGAACAAGTCCAGCAGCTGTGGAGGCGGAACACAGAGAGGGAAAGGGGGGGGATGGGTGGGGGGCACGGGGGGGGGGGTCAGGGACAACGGCACAACAAAAAAGAAGGTACAATGGTCACGCTATCGATGAGCAGCTTCTTAAGGGGTTGGTGGGAGGCAAGGCTGGTCGGGGGGGTTGGCACACAACGTGAGACGGGGCGGCGGCGGTGGTGGAGGACTGTGGGGGAAAAGGAGGTGGATTTGTTTAGGCATCGCGATCGAAGCTTTGCAACTGCAAATGCTCCGTCGCAGACTAAAAAAAACACTGGGCCACAATGCGTTAAAAAAACTGCTACTCAAACAATTATGGGAATAAAATGTATGATTTTTATGTAAAATTATACCAACAATGATGGTCAAACCACTGACGGATGGAGGCTTCTGCCCCACGCTGTCTGCGCTGGTCAAGCGGGTTGGTCGACCATCATTTGGTGGAGGGGATGCCCAAGATCGGATCCAATAAATATCACTCGCCACCGACGCGAGACGTGGCCAGGAATCGAACTGAGGTCGCCGGGTTCCGAGAGTGTTTGCGTCATCAAGAAACTGGACACAACCTTTTGAAAGCAGTGGAATAAAACCATCCAGCACGAAGCATGAGGCTTATATTGACAATTAATGAACAATCACTTTGAAATAGACCAATGCATGCATTTATATACACCACATATATGTGCATGCTTAAAAGATGTCAAAACTAAACGTGTATTCCTTTAAAATAAAAAGTATCTTAATAAAATAACACAGACCGTCAAGATGATGAAAGCTTCCTAGGTGCCTCAACTGATCTCGTAGAAATCTCAGCGAGATGAATTACAGACAGATGAAGTCAAAGAACATTTGAAAGCACTGGTTGAAGATAATAAAGTCCCAATTGGATTTTCCTGACTGATTTCAGGCAATGGCTTTACCATCCATCCCTTTGTGAGCAGTTTTTTAATTAAATATATTTATAATATATATTCCCACTGCAAGGCAGCTTGTGGGTATAGTTTTTATTTTATTTTAAAGGGACTTCTCTGCTTAGCCAGCGATGTCTGAATGACGACAGACAATACACCGATGACGGTTACACGAAGCGGACACAAACGATACGGGCCATCGCGTCACGGCGGGCGAGGCGCCTTGCGTGCAGTTGTCAGAATCAGAATGTTTATTTATACTGCGGGAAGAATCCGATGAGCTATAAAGCTCTTTTTCGCTGATGTCCAGTAGCGGCACGGGGTCAAAACGTTTCCACAACAAAACAACACGTAAAAAAGTATAGGAAAGGTAAACAAATCTCTTCACAAAATATAAGAAAACTAAACTAGTTTTTTTTTTATCTTACCAGATAAAGCCTGCTGAGCTATTTGCGTATTTTTCACAAGTGACCTGGCCACAAATGCTGGCTCAACAAAGTGGCTTATCATGTGGAAATATATAGCAGTAAAATAATATAAGTAACCCAAATGCACGACACTGCTCAGCCTGACATCTGCTCCGTTGACAGGCCATTGAACAAGACGTCAGTCTATTACTGTACATGTACACGTCTGTTATTAGTCATCGTTTCCCGAAAATGTACTTTGCTGCATCTTGAAAAGTGGTCACATTTGGATGCTACTACGTAAATACTCATTTAAATGCAACTAAAAAAACAAACTATTCTACGAACCAGGTAAAGCCCACTGAGCCATGAGCTCTTTTTCAGAGGCGACCTGGCCACACATGATAGCTCATCGAAGTGGCTTATATCATGTGGGCATTTATGGTTATCAAATAATCTGAAAATGAATCCAAATTGTTTTATATAACGCAATACACTGTGGATTACTACGCTATACATGAATACAATGCAATTTAAATGACGCTGCACAGGACCATGGGTATCCTGGAAAAAGGAAGTAGAATGATACTTTTTGCTTATTTTGTGCGGTTTCAATTTCATTTCACTTTTTAGTTTGTCTGAATGAGCCGGTTGTATTTATAGGATTTCCATGTAAATAATATTTAGCCGATGAGTGTTTGTACGCTACATACATTGTTAATTACTAACACCCAAGTATGCGTATACTCCCAGGAGAGAAGCATAATGAAAACGCGACGTTTCATTCAATAATAATTTTGAAAATGATCACCGTATTTTTAAGGAATTATCACAAGACGTATTACAGAGGGCTATGCATTTAGAGGGAACAATCGCTCAAAAGAAGAAACACATACAACAAAAGGATTTAGTACCAATGCTGTCAGAAAATGCCCAGGGGACACTGAATGAAATATAAGGGGCAATATTTACATGGCCAAGTGGCACCGGGCGTTTATCGGAGAGCTGTCAGCGTTGGCAGTGGTTATTTACACCGTGCTGCATGGACAAACAAGGTCCTGCCATAAAAATGTGAGTCTATGAAACACTACCGCCACCAACGCCACCCACCACCGCGATCACAAACCACACATCCCTTCTGACGCTGAGAAACAGAAAAATACACAGAAACGGCACACCTCGTGATATTACCAGCAAGTGTTCGGGCGCCGCGAACTATTAATCAAGTCGAGGTCGAGTGTCGACCGGCTCGCACAGGTAAAGAGACGGCACCGGTGGCAGCGCCTGCGGCGGTGGTGGGCAGGAAAGGTTGGGCCGATATTTATTTAAAAAAAAAGTTCAGTACTCTGTCTGAAAAGACCAAAGGCCGATTTCTTCAACCTTTAGCCCAGTGAAGATTTTTTTCACCCTTTTATTTCAAATTAAGTTTAAGGGTGGTAAAACGATATTTAGTCTGTTCTAAAATAACCGTGGCTGTGATGAATGATATCAATTGTAGCGTTGTACTTGTGCATCGTTGAATGACAACCGGCATTCCTGTTGAAATCAGCCACCTTCAAAAGACGTTTCGGGCAATGGCCCTTCTTCACAGCACACCGAGAGAGATCCGGAGAGGTGGTGTGCTTGTGCGCCACTGCCAAAGCAGAAGCACCAAACCGCCTGTTTAACTTTCGTGACAATGCAAAATAAGTCGACCATATTAACACAAACGCTTGCAAAAACGTGTCACAGTACATGCAGTGTTGCGATCGCGAATAATAATCACGGGTTATATTTCAAGTTGAATTTCACTGGGCGAAGACCCCGGGGCCAGACCAGGTCCAGGACACGCTCGGCTGGCCTGGGAACGCCTGGGAATTTCCCAGGGAAAGGGAGGCCCGGACCGCCCTACTCAACACGCTTCCACCTCGACCCTCACGAGGAAGAGCGGATTGAGATACGACTGACCGACACTAAATTCAAAGTGACAAAAAGGTTAAAGTGGTTTCCCCAGCCAAACGAGTGTGGGTTGCCGTTCCACTCCTGTAAACAGCCTGGAGCCAGCGGCTGGAAATTCCACATTTCTACGGAGGACCCGTGTGATCAACTACGAAGGGACAGAGAAGAACTGAGCCGCCCTCTTGACGGCAACTTCAACTCGCAAGCTTCCGATCGCGAGCCGCACAGTTAAATTAACGACGACGACATCACCCGAGCGGTTACACAGCAGCAGCAGCGCAGTGAGGAGGCATACACAGGAGAGAGGAGAGTGCTGTGGAACGTATCGCTTAGAAACGTACGGCTATCGGGTTACGCCTCCGCATCATGCCAAAGTGTACCTTCTGACAGTCACTTCACATTCTGAGGCTCTGATACAGTAACCCTGAAGTGACATGACTAGTTTTTTTTAAGTACCCAAATTTGGAACTTTTTTTTGTGTGCGTGTGTGTGCGTGTCTCTTCCTCGACCGGGCTGGGTGGTTCACACCAGTCAGGCCAGATTTCTTCTCTACCCATGCCGTGTCGCGTGCGTGCGGCACTACCGCGCCTACGAGCGAGGGCGCAGGTGGGGGAAAAAACTTCTGATACGCCCCGGCTCCCAGCGAATTGTGTCGCAGGTTCACGCAGAGTTCAAGCTCAAGGGCAAACTCTGCCTTGGCAGGGCACAGCTCAATCGTGGGTTGTTTTTAATTGATTTTTGTTGTTGTTTACAAACTACGAGCAGGGGGGGGGGCAGGCGAGCCGGCCAGTCAAGAGGACACCACGCGCACGGCACAGCTCGGCCGTCGTGATTACAGACGATGAGCGGGAGGGTCAGGTCACCCCACTGGCTATGGGAGGTGGCGTCTGTCAAACAGCGATCATATGAATGGCACGAGCAAAACGGCAATAATTTTACGTGTAGCACACAGAGACGTAAAAAGAAAATGTCAAAGTTCTTGTGTGCTAGGTTCATTATTTATGAGCTGACACCAGCTTGCGTCTTTGAGTCAGTGCAATGCACATCAGGATATCTTTTTGTATCAATTACATGAACAAATGCTATGTACCCTAAGTAAGTTTTTTACTTTGTGTGTTCTGTTAAATTGTTGTTCCGAGTTGCGATGTGAACACTGGCTCACGCTGAAGCAACGTTGCGTCTCAGGGCGTGCTGTGTTCAAGAATTCCCAGAAGCACCTTTAATTAACAACACGAAACACGAGGCAAATGTCATCGGTGCTTGTCAAGGATTAAAATTGCATTGCTCGGAGCCGATCGCGCGGAATGTCATTTGCGCAAGGGAATTAAGTGGCAATAAAGAATCTGAACCCAAGTTCTCCAAAGCCTCTGACACCTATCAGATCTCTGCCCTGCATCACTGGGCAAGGATATGCCTATGCATTCGGCAACTTCAGCCGGCACAATTCACACACCCAGGCAGCAATAAAATGCGGCCAACTGCCTGCAGGCTGGATGCATGGAGCGTTGGGAAATAACCTGACTGGGGTGCTCAAACGCTCTGCAAATTTTCAGTTTTCGCTAACGTGCCCCCCACCCCCGACCCCGGCCAACCCCCCACCGCATCCCCACCGCCCGTGCCCCCCGCCCCACTGCTCCAAAGAAAGGGGATCGTGGCCGCGTCCCTAAAGAGGTTTAATTTAGACACAATCCAGATGATTGCCCAGTTCATGGCACATTTCGCGTTCTAC